GTTTGATCTATTTAATGAGTATGTGAGTTAGCTTACAACGATACACAAGTTAGATTATTCTATAAGATGTCATTTTGTTTACATAGATTAAAAAAAAAAGGAAAAGATATCACTTTGGGCTTGATCCAAATTATTTGGGCTACCCATAAATCAAACTTTGCATAAAAAAATTGTAAGTTGGTCTAAAAAATTAGTACAAATATGAACACGTTAAATACAAGCTCATTTTCGGGCTAATGGTTTGATTTCATGTTATACATGAAATTTTAAGTTCAAACACTTTATGTAAATTATCTATCCTTTCTTTTAATTGCTAGATGAAAATCCATTAAGTCACTTGGGAAAATCTTATAACCTAGTTTACCACACTTAACATAGACTTATTTGACAAATATATCATACAATTTTTTTAAGTCTATTTAGTTAAAAATAGGCCAATCAATTTTTTTTTTAAGACTAAGCCGAGTTGTTTAAATAAATATAAATTATACAACCATAATAATTTATTGTTGTTATTATTATATTAAATTTTATTAGTATACTTTATTTAAAGACTTATGTTTGTGAAAGAAGAATGATATTGTTATCTTAAAAATCTTATTTCTTCAAAAGTTTATTAAAACATCTTTACAATTAGTAGACTGTAATTCAATTTATAGTAATTTATACTAACGTTGCTTCAAATTTTATGACTTTTTTTTTTTATTTTTTTATTTTTTACCTTTACGATAACCTCTTTAATTGTTTGAAAAACATTATATTAAAGGAATGTTTGATATTTGAAATTTTTGTACTTTCTTAGAACTTTGACTTCAAAAATATTAATTTTTTGCATTTAGTTTGTTATTTAAAAATAATTTGTAAGAAATATTGTTTTCTAGGAATGAATTTTGCATATATTTTTCACGAAATTTTTTCTATGGAAAAGATGGAAAATAAAATTTTTCAATATAAAAATAAAATTTTAATACAATAAAAATGTCATACTATCTTTATTTATTTATTTAATGCAGTAAAAAAATTTGATTTACATATAACATTTAAAAACATTCTCACAAACATTTATGATCAAATAAATAGATTTTCATCATGTACGGACATAAAAAAATTGTCGTATACCAAATGTCCCCTAATATTTTTTGAACATTATATTAACTCCTTAATTATTTTAAAAAAATTATACTATGACTTCCTATATGAAGCTACAATAAATATGAAAAAAAACAGAAAATGCTAGGACAAGTGTTTGACATAGGTTGAGGTTCCTACTACTCTTTTTTTTTTTTTCCTCTTGCCATGTATACTTCCAACTCATTGGACAATAATCTCGGACTATGATTATTGTTCGTTGAGTTTTTGCACAGGGGAAGAATCAAATGTGATTCTTACTCTTTTGATAAGAACTAAGAAGCAGCTAGGATTAATTTATCTTCAATCGTGAAAATAAAAAATTATATTTTTGTATTTATATCATAATCTAAAATGTCTAAATCTAGTTGATTAATTATCGATGTATTCAAATACAAAATATTAACAATCAATAATCTAATTACAAGGATTAACTTTATAAATAATTTCATTTCATGTGAGCTTATCGCTATGGAGTTCCATCTTTAAATACAGGTTGAGACCAACATGTGTAAGAGGCTTTGGTAACCGGAAAGTCTACAGAAATGTTATGAAAACCCAAGCTGGCAAGCCCAAAAAAATATGTTCATGTCTTTGGGCACGCAGTTACATCTATATTTCTGGCAGCCATTCGTCGTAGGGAAGCATTTGGACATGCTTCCAAGCAAGGCTCCTTCAGGATGCTGTCATCTTCTGGCAGTGGAGGAAGGACTCCAAATTTGAACTGCAATTTTACAAGATAAGAGAGTAATGACACGGAGGTCACGTACAGAGTTGGTCTCCAAAAAGGATTACTTAATATTACCTGACAGCTGTAATCGGCAAAGTTAGGTTCCATAAGTAATGGAACCCCCATATGATCCTTGAAGAAGGTCTAGATAGAAAAAAGAGTTAGATGCAATCATCCAGAGGATGAAAAAACTTTGAAATGTGCACATGATGTTTAGCTCTCATTGTCACATGAAAAAATGAGTAAATATTTTCAAGAATCACTAACCTGTGTTGGAAACTTACACGTGTTGGTGCAAATACCAGCACACTTGCTTTCCTCCAGATACTTGCATCTTTCCACATACACCTACAAGAAAATTACAGGATTATTTGGTATGAGTTTTACAACACATAAAAAAGATCAAACACATGGAAAAGTCTAAGTGATCACCCCACTACTGCATGAGGTTCCATCTGGTAGGTCTATAGAATTGACTTTGCACGGGCCCATGAGCCATTGACAAGTCAGCACAGTAACCCTTGCTTCAAAACCAAAACGTTTTAGGATATGATATCTAAACAAGTTTCTTAGTCTGTTACGTTCGAAGGAACATCAAGCAGGACCAAGATTTGGGATTCATCTAGAAGAATTGAAAAATGAAATGAATCTGATCAGACTCACCAACCATCATAGCAGCAATTTTGCCTCCTCCTATAGGAGCAATGAGCATTTTATAGAGCTCCAAAAGATATGGAGGGAACAGAGACCTCAATATTCGTACCTGGCACAAATCACAACAGCTAGCGAACTTACTTTCGGACAACATGACCATTCAAAACATATAAGAAAACCATATAGGGTGAATTAGTTAATAGTTACTATAAAATAAATGAGATGCAGCTTTTTACATAATCAGCTTTTTTACATTTTATTTGAGCCAAAAGTTTTACTCTCTTCTACTTTATTTGAAATGATTTTACCAAACAATATTTGTTCCTAAACTTGTTCTGACCCCATTTCGAGGATTCATATTCACATACAGGATTTATTGCAAAGTATGTTCTCACGCTTCATCATATAAGAATTATTATCATAATCTATAGGAAAATAATATAACTAGCTTCTATGTTCAGCTAGTACAGACCAGAAAAGATTCTGTCTGAATATTCCTCTTCTGGTGCTGAATAAAACTAATTAGCTTGGGCTTGACTTTCTCGCGTTATACAGTTTCTTATCTTTAAGGAGCCAGATACAGATACAAGACTAGTTTTAGGTGAACATTTTGGGACCATGTTTTTTATTTATCAAACAAAGTGAAAAGCTATTGATACTAATGTATAAGAAAAATTCTGAAAGGGGTACTTGAGTAAATGAAAGTTTGAGAGTGAAGGTGAAAGGGAGAGAGAGAAAAAAAAAAAAAGAAGACGGAAATACCGTTGTTTCTACGGTATCAGAGTTGGTAGTGCCCTTCTTCATTAGAAGATTCGCAACTTCAATTAGTCCATCATACCCAGGTTTCTTTGAGTCCCACCCCACCTCCTGTTAATACCATTCACACTCAGCTATTGCAATAACATAACATCATAAAAGAAGAAGAAGAATCTAGAAGCCTCTCTTTACCTGTACCAATTTGCTGCGGAACAAATTGAGAAACAAATCATCAAACACACCTGGCTTGTATTCAGGTTTCGCAGCTGCAATTCCCACTTGTTCCACCTGATTCAATTCAGTTCACTAATTATACGAGTCGAATTTCGTTGCATGAATATGAAAAACAAAAGAAGAAGATACGCACCGTTTTGGATCCCGGTGACGAAGTAGAAGAGAACGAAACGCGAAAACGATGGTTCCGAACACTCGAACTGCATACCACAGGAGCAGCACCACCACCGCCAACCACGATGCCTATCACCTTCATTTCTCTTCACCCTAAACAAACTAAACTAACTCACTGTTCAGTTATAAAATAAAAAATAAAAAAAAAAAACAGAAAAGGTTACCGGTTACCGGCTAATTCAAGTGAAACTCAAAACGACGGCGCGTGGTGCGTTTTGATGAACCCTAACAAAACCCCTCCGAGGGATTTCAATAGGAGACAAACAGCACCCGGCTGTGGTACGATCTTAGAGCGACGGAGATGAATTACGCCAGTCTAATTTCCGGCGGAGGATGGCTGCTCCGGCGACTGTGCACTGCGGCCGAGACTCCGGGGAAGAAGCTAAACCTTTATCGAATGTTATCGGCGCTGGAGATGACCGGAGGTAGCGTGTCGGATACTTTGGACCACTACATAATGCACGGCAGAGCCGTCAGAAAACAAGAACTCGAGAGATGCGTCGAGCAGCTCCGAAAGTATCGCAGATTCCAGCACGCACTCGAGGTATCAAATATCAAAATTCCATTTTGGAAACTTTTACATTGATACCTTAAATTTCGATATACTAGTAGAAATTTTTAAATTAATAATGTCATGGAAAAATCTATTAATTTTTTTTTTGGCTCGGGAGTATTCAGGGCCGAAAAATCTATTAATTTTTTTTTTTGGCTCGTCCCTGGAGTATTCACTGCCAGTGGGATAGCTGGCTCCAAGATTTAACGCGGCTGCATACACAAGGCAGGATTCGAACCCCTGACCTTGCTTAAGGGCGGATCAACCTCTACCGCTGAACTACACGCTTGGGGATGGAGAAATTTATTAATTTAAAAAATTATTAATTTATCGATAAATTAATAATTATTAATTTAAAGAGTTTTTAAGTAATTATATTGTATATATCAAATAAAAAGACAAATTAGTCTATGTTTTCTAGAATTACGTTGCAGCGAACTTTGGGACTCAACGTAAATTAGTAACTTTTAAAGTACATATACATTAAAAATCAATACGTAATGACTTTTGAAGTACATATGTATTGGAAATTAATAATGATTTTGAAGTACAGTAAATGTAAACAAGAAGAATAAATGTGTTCAATGTATTGTTAAACAAGTTTGACATGTATAAATTACATGAATGTGTTAGAGTATTCAAACCATATTTCACAAGATGGCTTCTCGTCTAAAAAGTGTTGCAAAATCATATTTCAATAGAGTGTAATATATTTTTTTTTAGTTTCTATGAATTATTAATTTATGATTTTTTTGGGACCGAAAATTATAAAAAAATCTCCCAAAAAATTATTATTTTATTATTTTATCGAGTTTTTTTTAATTTTTTATATTGGCTCAAGTCGGGACCGGATAAATTTATTATTTTAGAGAGTTTATTAATTTACCGAGTATTAATTTAAAGAGTTTCTTGATTGTTGAAATTTATCATTTAAAATGAATGCAGATAATAGAATGGATGGAGATGAGGAAAATTAACTTATCCCGGAATAACATCGCAGTTTATTTAGATCTTGTGTCGAGAGCCAAAGGGGTAGTTGCTGCTGAGAATTTTTTCAGCGGTCTTCCCCCTCCAGCCAAGAATAAGTATACCTACGGTGCTCTCTTGAACTGTTATTGCAAGGAACTAATGACCGACAAGGCTTTAGGTCATTTTGATAAAATGGATGAATTGGGTTATGTAACTTCTTTGGCTTTCAACAGTCTCATGGGTATGTTCTTGAGACTTGGTCAACCCATGAAGGTCCCTCAGCTGGTGCGTGATATGAAGCACAGGAATATTCCCTTGTCAGCATTCACATATCATGTCTGGATGAACAGCTGCGCTGCTTTGAACGATCTTGGCGCGGTGGAGAGTGTCTATGAGGAGATGAAAAGGGAAGATGGAAACCAAATTGGTTGGCAGACTTACAGCAACCTTGCTGCTATTTATACAAAGGCTAAGGACTTTGAGAAGGCTGAGATGATGCTTAAGATGCTGGAGAAAAAAGTGAGGCCGCGACAGCGTGACGCGTACCATTTCTTGCTTGGCCTCTATGCAGGGATTGGTAATCTTGGAGAGGTTCATAGGGTGTGGAACTCCCTCAAGTCTGTCTCCCCTGTGATCAATGTCAGCTATCTTACCATGCTTAGTACCCTCCGAAGGCTTAAAGATGTGGAGGGCATAACAAGATGCTTTAAGGAGTGGGAGTCTAGTTGTGCTAGTTATGACGTGAGGTTAGTTAGTGTTTGTGTTAGTGCTTACTTGAATCAGAACATGGTGGAAGAAGTTGCATTGGTGTTTGAGGGGGCTAGTAGGAGGAGCAAACAGCCTTTACTTAGGATAAGGGAAACGTTCATGATGTTTTTCTTGGAGAAGCGTCAGTTGGATGGTGCTGTGAGGCACTTAGAGGCGGCACTATCAGAAGTCAAGGGTGATGAATGGCGTCCTTCACCAAAGCTTGTTGGGGCGTTTCTCAAGTACTATGAAGAAGAGACTGGTGTTGATGGTGTTGCTGAGTTGAGCAAGATTTTCCAGGCTAACAATTTTGATGATTCCTGGATTAAAAATTGCATTACAGCAACCGAATCATCTCCAGGAATTGATCCAATATTGAAGGAAGATTCTCAAGTCAACCATGCGTAGGAGAACTAGACATCATGGAAAAATAATTTTGTGTGGAGCGTGTAGGTGCAGTTCATGTGAAGCTAGTGATTTGACTATTGACTTGGTTTCTCTAACATCAGAAAGTTTCTCCATAATCGTCGTGAAGGAAATGTTTAGTTTTTATTATTATTAGTGATTATAAAAATGTTCCCGTATTTTCTGTTTTTAAAATAAAAAATTTAAACAAAATGATTTTTTAATTCGAACATGCCATAAATAAAACAATTTCAGTCTAGTTTTTTTTTTTTTTTTTTTTACTTTTTATCTAGGACGACTAGCATCTGGTTACTAGATTGATATCTAAATAGTCTATGATGATGAATTAAGTATTATTAGTGAAATTTTCCATCCAATTTTTTAACATGATTTCATTACCCGGGACTTAAATTTGAGTCCCATTGAAATATATAGTTGATCTACGTGTTAGGTAATATTGTAGATATTTTTGCTTGTCGTTAAGATTTTTTTATTAGTGAGAAAATAAAAAAAACAAAATAGTACAAATACTAATGCAAATACTAATGTTCCTTATAATTATAGTTCTTATAGTGTAAGATAGCACAACGTGCATGCAAGATGAATGAAATCAAACAATTACAAAAATTGCTAGTACACATTCAACTGATTATAGAAAGAATTCTTATTCCATGGCATCAAGCACGAATACAACCTTTAGTGTCCTTATAGCACTCATGAACAGAAAAGTGAGTTAGAAAGAAAAAGAATCTCAATAACCTCTCCCTCCTTCCCCTTCCCCTTCACACCAATAATTATTCTCTTTATATTCAAGCTATTTCCTCACGTAATCCTTCAGCCACCCACTTTCTCTCTTGGATCACGCACTTTTATTCTTTGCCATGATTTCCGCACCTTCATCCACGTGTCCCATTTGTATTGGCTTGCCTATAACGGTCTCCACCTCATCATTATTTTGCACTCTCCTTACATATAGCATCATCAAATATCATAAAATCTAAATTTATTGGACAAGATGTAAGGATTGTTTGAGAGGAATTCTCCATAGCTCCTTTGTTTGCTAGTCAATTTATGCAAGAGTTCACTTCTCGAAGAGTATGTTGGAGGATGATGTTCCAAACTTTATCCATAAGTGATCTAATTGCATCAACAAGGGGTGCATGAAGATGGTTTTCATTTACTCCATTAGTAATCATTTTGAATGTGCTCTAAGAATCAGATTTCCATAGGACATGTCTATAGCTTTCCTACCAAACCATCTTTAATCCATTGTAAATAGCATGAAGTTCAACTACAAGTGAATAATGAATACCACAAGCTTTCATGAATCTAATGAGTCATTGACTAGTTGGGTTCCAAAGAATACCACCAAAGTCAACTTTCTCCATATTACCATGTGAGTTATCATCCGTGTTAAGTTTGACAAACATTCCTCGAGTTTGATGCCACTTAACACTCCGGTGTTGTTTGTTGGAAGTGGTGATAGGAAAATTGCCTATATAAAGTGTAGGAATGAATTAATCATGTTTAAGAGCCTCCAAAAAGACCAATTTTTTCTATTAAAAATGAAATCAATTCTAGATTTCCAAAGATGTTAGCAGATATTGGCAAAAAGTTTACTTCTATTTTCCAGAAGGTTTTGGCGAAGCCATTCCTCTATATTAGTTGTTATAGGGAATTCAAATTGGTAGTGTGGCCCCAAACTTGTGGGTCATTACTGTTGAGCACCGAGGGGGTTACCACACATACATACATGTCTCCACATTGGTGAGATATTGTCCGCTTTGGGCTCAAGCCCTCACGGTTTTGCTTTGTGGACATCACCCAAAAGACCTCTTAACCAATGGAGACAAGTGTGTGTATATAAACCCATGTCCATCCTCTTGTTTGAATGATGTGGGACTTTACTTGCATCCCAACAATCATCCCCTCAAACAAAGGACCATGGTTTACCCCTTCTCCTGCAGCAAAAACTACGAGTATTATCGAATGGTGGCCCCACAGAGCTCACTCACGCTAAATCGCTTCTCCTGCAGCAAAAACTACGAGTATTATCCGATGGTGGCCTCACAGAGCTCACTCATGCTTAGAGTGCTTGCACCGCTGCTCCATCATGACCTCCTTCATGACAGCGGGACATGCCTCCTAACCCTCCATGTTACCAGGAAGCCTCTCTTCCACATGGACCCATCGTTAGGAAGACTTTTGACACAAGGGATCACAAACTTGGATCCACCTGCCAACCATCATACTCGTCGAGCCGGTCACCTCAGACCATCGACTCTGATACCACTTGTTGAGCAACGGGAGTTACCACACATACACACATGTCTCCACATTGGTGAGATATTGTCCGCTTTGGGCTCAAGCCCTCACAATTTTGCTTTTGGACACCACTCAAAAGGTCTCTCAACCAATGGAGACAACTGTGTGTATATAAACCCATGTCCATCCGCTTATTTGAACGATGTGGGACTTTGCTTGCATCCCAACAATCCTCCTCTCAAACAAAGGACCACGGTTTAACCCATCACCTGCAGCAGAAACTACGAGTATTATCCGATGGTGGCCCCATAGAGCTCACTCACGCTAAATCGCTTCTCTTGTAGTGAAAACTACGAGTATTATCCGATGGTAGCCCCACAGAGCCCACTCACGCTCAGAGTGCTTGCACCGCTGCTCCATCATGACCTCCTTCATGACAGCGGGACACGCCTTCTAACCCTCCATGTTACCAGGAAGCCTCTCTTCCACATGAACCCATCATTAGGAAGACTTTCGACACAAGGGATCCCAAATTTGGATCCACCTGTCAACCATCATACTCGTCGAGCCAGTCACCTCATACCATCGTTAGGAAGCATGTCCCGCTGTCATGAAGGGGGTCATGATGGAGTGGCGGTGCAAGCACTCTAAGCGTGAGTGAGCTCTGTGGGGCCACCATCGGATAATACTCGTAGTTTCTGTTGCAGGAGAAGGGGTAAATCGTGGTCCTTTGTTTGAGGGCTATTTAATTAGTGTCATTCAAAGCAATCATTTTAGTATTTGCCTCCATCATTCAAGCAAGTCAAATAGCCCCAAACCAAAGCCAACAAGAGCTCTGATGCCACTCTGATGGGGAAATAACAACAATAACAACACAGAGCAAACTCAAACAGTTATCGCAGCAGAAATAAATTCTCCAAACTTGCAAGAATCTGTGAGGAGCAACAACCAATAAACAACAATAATAAATCACCAAAAATAACACACAAAGACACCAAGATTTTTAACATGAAAACCCCTCAAAGCAAGGGTAAAAATCACGAGTCGTCCAAACCAAAGAAATAGCTTCACTATGATCAACAAAGAGTACAAAAGAGTCTCAATCAACTGCACAAAATAGTGCTAACACCCAGCCAAACAACAAAGCTATAAAGCTTACAAATAGAGAACAAAGAAGATGAAAAAACTCCAAATACACAGCTACAGTGCAAACTGAATATCTCCCTACTCAGACCTCGTTTCATTCGTGACATTCGATTCTTCATTCTGACCGGTTGGATCATTGAAATGAGGTCTGAGTAGGGAGATATTTAGTTCGCACTGTAGCTGTGTATTTGGAGTTTTTTCATCTTCTTTGTTCTCTATTTGTAAGCTTTATAGCTTTGTTGTTTGGCTGGGTGTTAGCACTATTTTGTGCAGTTGATTGAGACTCTTTTATACTCTTTGTTGATCATAATGGAGCTATTTCTTTGGTCTGGATAAGCCTACTTTGGTGGGTTACTCATACTCAAATATGGCAGGAGACATTGATTCCAGAAAGTCCACTTCAGGCTATTTGATTAAGTTTGCAGGGGGAGTTGTGGCTTGGCAATCAAGGCTGCAAAGGTGTGTAGCATTGTCCACTACAGAGGCAGAGTTCATTTCCATTACTGAAGCATGCAAGGAGTTGCTCTGGTTGAAGAAATTCTTGCAAGAGCTTGGTTTTGTGCAGGAAAAATATCCTTTATTTGTTGATAGTCAGAGTGCTATCCATCTTGGCAAGAATCCAACTTTTCATTCTAGGCCCAAACATATTGATGTAAGGTATTATTGGATACGTGATGCTTTGGATGCTAAGCTGTTGGAGTTGGCTAAAATTCATACTAATGATAATGGTGCTGATATGATAACTAAAGCATTGCCAAAAGGAAAATTTGAAGTTTTTTGTGAGATCGTCGGTTTGGCGGTTATCTCCACGTAGTTGTAAGGGGGAGATTTGTTGGGTATTGGGCTTCCATCCTATGTGGAGAAAAGGCTCAAAATTGAGAAGCCCACTTGATGTCTCACTTAATTAAGTGGAGAGAGGGTCCGAAACACAAGAGTGAGAAAGAGGGAAAGTCAGAAATCACTTAGAACACCTACAATTTGAGAGAGAGGAAGAGAGAAAGTCATTCTCGTTTTTACACAGGGTTGCGATAGTAAAATCGAGATTGCAGATTCGTTCACTTGGATCGGGCTGAAAATTAGACAGCAGGTTCGTGACATCCGATCTTTCATTCTGACCGGTTGGATCATTAAAACGAGGTCTGAGTAGGGAGATATTTAGTTCGCACTGTAGCTGTGTATTTGGAGTTTTTTCATCTTCTTTGTTCTCTATTTGTAAGCTTTATAGCTTTGTTGTTTGGTTGGGTGTTAGCACTATTTTGTGCAGTTGATTGAGACTCTTTTGTACTCTTTGTTGATCATAGTGGAGCTATTTCTTTGGTCTGGACGATTCGTGGTTTTTACCCTTGCTTTGAGGGATTTTCCACATTAAAAATCTTGGTGTCTGTGTGTGATTTTTGGTGATTTATTATTGTTGTTCATTGGTTGTTGCTCCTCATAGATTCTTGCAAGTTTGGGGAATTTATTTTCGCTACGATAACTGTTTGAGTTTGCTCTGTGTTGTTATTGTTGTTGTTTCCCCATCAGAGTGGTATGAGAGCTCTTGTTAGCTTTGGTTTGGGCCTATTTGACTTGCTTGAATGATGGAGGCAAATACTAAAATGATTGCTTTGAATGACACTAATTATCACTTGTGGAAGGGCAAGATGAAAGACTTGCTATTTGTGAAGAAAATGCATCTTCCTGTCTTTACTACTCAAAAGCCAGATTCTATGTCTGAAGAAGATTGGGACTTTGGTTGCATCCCAACAATCCTCCCCTCAAACAAAGGACCACGGTTTACCCCTTCTCCTGCAGCGGAAACTACGAGTATTATCCGATGGTGGCCCCACAGAGCTCACTCACGCTAAACCGCTTCTCCTGCAGCGAAAACTACGAGTATTATCCAATGGTTTAGGGTTTAGGATTTACCACACATACACACATGTCTCCACTTGTTGAGCACCGAGGGGGTTATCACACATACACACATGTCTCCACATTGGTGAAATATTGTCCACTTTGGGCTCAAGCCCTTACGGTTTTACTTTTTGGACATCACCCAAAAGGCCTCTTAACCAATAGAGACAAGTGTGTGTATATAAATCCATGTCCATCCTCTTGTTTGAATGATGTGGGACTTTGCTTGCATCCCAACAATCACAACCTTTAAGAAGGTGGAGCTAATGTTTATTATGATTTATTCATCGTGGACAACTTGAGTTGGGTGTCATGTGACATTGGAAGAGAAGTAACGTGGTAGGAAGGCAATTTATGATAATATGCCATATGAAGTGCTTTATATTATCATGAATCTTGAGAGATCAAATCTAGGACGTGTTGTTGTTGGTCATACTTTAACCATTGTTGTTTCTATAGATCCATTTGTATGTAGTATAAGCAGTGTAATCCTTGATGGGACAGGCACTCTAGTTTATTTTATCCCTGGTGTTTTCACAAAGGAAGGTGCTATAAAGGATGTCCTTGACTTCTTGATTCAATGAGGTAACTGGAGTATTCCAGTTATATATTCCCTCATTATAAATATCATGTAACTTCTATTGGGAGTCTTAGATATGGACATAGTCCACAAGGTTTCAAAGTGGTCATTGTGTAGCTCACATATCAAACCAAATGGATAAGTTCCCTTCTCCAACCTGAAATTTGAAGCCTGATTCCAAAATCTTGATGGCTTTAATAATGGATTGCCAAGTGTGATATCTCCCTTGGTAGTCTTTCATTCGAAGTATAGATTTGTCTTAAGGTATTTGGGATCCAATAGTTTAGTCCAAAGCTTATGTGTCTCTCCAATAAGGTCCCATAAATGTTTCCCTAAAAAAGTTGTATTCACATCCCTGGTTGGTTGGGTGCTAAGGCCTCCATTTTTCTTTGTTTTTGTCACCACTTCCCAGTTGGCCAAATGTTTGTGATGACCACCCCATATAAAGGTTCTTATGCATTTGTCAATATCATCACAAACACCTTGTGGGAGCTAGAGGTTGTGCATGATATAATTTGGTATTTGGTATGGTGTTCATAATTGAGGATGCAAGAATAACTTTGTCTACTCTACTAAGGAGGCTTAGTTTCCATCTTGCCAACCAAGAGTTCAGTTTATCAAAAATGAATTTGAAGTCAACTTTTTTTACTCTTCCGACTAAAATTGGGAAGTCAAGATATTAATCGATATCTTTAGTAGGGAGAAGCCAAAGATGTCTCTAAACTTGTTAATCTTGTTAGAATGGATATTTCTAGATGTTTAGAATTTTTCCTTTTGGAGGTTGACTTGTAAGCTTGAGGCATGGCCAAAATCATTAAAATTTGTGTTACCAGTCTAACTCGTGCAACTTTTGCTTTGGTGAAGAGTGAGCAATCATCAAGAAAAACATGCGTGAAATAAATGGACCTCTTATAGAAATGCGAATAGGTTTTCAGCTATTATATTAGACTCTCTGATGGATTAGAATTGCAAGTTTCTCCATGCATAATACAAATAAATATGATGATAAAGGGTCACCTTGACGTAATCCTATGGTTGGGAAAAAAGGATCCAACACTTCATTATGCCACTTCAAGGAGAGAGTTACGACTTTTGTGCTATTCATGATCAGACGAATAATGGAATTAGGGAAACCAGAATCTGATAGGGTTAATTGGAAGAAGTCCCAATTAATTTTATTGTATGTCTTTTCAAAGTCAATTTTGAAAATGATGTGGCCTTCCTTGTCGTCATGATTCAATTTATGAAAGAAAAAAAAATCACAAGTGGGATTAGTTGTTAAAAAACTCATTTATTAACAAATTCTATTTATAATGCATTGTTATGTACTTTGCGCAAATTGTAACTTAACAAATGACATTGAAAACTTTCATTTTTATATCTAGAAACTTATCACATTTTATATTTTCATGTTTGCTTCATAATATTGAAAGAGTATTTAACTTAAGAGTGCCTATGAGGTGGTTTTTCCACATTTTAAGATGATCTATAACCATTCAAATCACATGACTAAGAGCTAATATTATCCCTTCTTATCATGTTCTTTTGATAGTAAATCTTCTCCTTTCCTATTTGATTTTTTTTTCTTCAACATAGGAACCATTATAATTCTACAAAAAAAAATAATGTAAGTGTACCTTCTTGGACATGATTCGATATGGTTATGTCGAGAGTACATTATCGAGAGGAAATTGTCAATTTGAGTGTTAGCACTTATACTTTCCTTAAAGTATTGATGTGTAGGCTTCCCCTTTAGCCCCTTCACCTTCTAGGCTTAGGACTGATGGACAAGTATATCATCCCGGATAAAATTTTAAGATGGGCCTATTGAGTGGCCTTGGCCAAGATCTTTGGCCGAGGATCCCAAAGGCTGAGCCGAGAAGGGGTATTCGAGGGGTGATGGCTGACCTCTCAATGTATACCACCTCCCCAAAGGTTATTGAAATAAATCTGATATGAGCGTCACACCAAGGATAAAATCCTATCTTTGATAGCCAAAGATCATAATATTAAATAGTCACCTTATAGAATCCCAAGATTTTTGAGGCCCATAAACCCATGGGCAAGTAATTATAAAAACTCTAACCTTAGTTAAAATAAGATAGATTACACCTTTTGAATGCTCTAAATATGGTGATTCATCTAGAAAACCCTAGATATCTTGCAGACCAGAGCACATATCCATCATAGGAAACAACATGTTCTCTACTAAAGCTCTCTATGGCAAGCCAAGAGCTTAGGGTAAAATCACATTTCAAAACATCGTCTTTCACCCATTTATATATTTCTCCGTAACTTAAGGAAACCATTTTTAAAGAAAACCTAAGCACCCTAATGACCAAAGGGGAATGAAAGATGGCAAGATACAGAAGGTTAAAGGGGCATACCTAAGAGGAACCTCAAAGTAAATACATTTTTCTCTACTCAAACTCACTGCAAAACCATTACAGAACTACTACAACAAAGGGTGAAGAAGAACGATAATGCTCACCAGAGAAGAAGACACACGAAAGTGTAAGAGAAAGAGCACCTACACAAAATGCCCAATTTTTGGTATTTATAGAAATCAAGAGACATACTGAGGGGTTAGCAACAGTAAGGGGAAAGTCGTGTGTGAAACTATGCGCCAATTGACATTTTTGGGGGGCCCACTTTTCATTTATAGGAAGACTTTATGCCACATGTCACAAAGGTCAATTCCTTTTGTAATAAAGCAGCGCGACACTAAATGTGTCATTTTGCATTAAAATACAAAAAGACACCCACTAAAGAGCCCGATGAATAGCCGACCTAAACATTTTTAAGCACTTTAGCCCCTACGTCTTCTAGGCTTAGGGCTGATGGACAACTGTACTTTCTCGAATATGATCCAATATGGTTATATCAAGAGTGCATTACCGAGAGGAAATTGTCGATTTGAGTGTTAGCACTTATACTTTCTTTAAAGTATTGATGTGTAGGCTTCCCCTCTAACCCATTCACCTTCTAGGCTTAGGGTTGGAGGACAAGTATACCATCCTGGATAAATTTTGAGGTGGGCCTGTCAAGCAGTCTTGGCCGAGATCTTTGGTCGAAGACTCCAAAGGTTGAGCTGAGTGTTGTACTAGATATAAAATCTCATCTTTAATAGGCAAAAATCATAATATTAAATAGTCAGCTTATAAAATCTCAAGATTTTCAGGGCCCATAGACTCATGGGCAAGTAACTATAAAAACTCTAATCTTAGGTCAAAGAGGACAAATTACACTTTTTAAATCATCTAGCTCTGGTGACTTTATCTAAAAAATCCTAGACAAAGGACAAATTACACTTTTTGAATGATCTAGCTCTGGTAACTTATCTAAAAAATCCTAGACATCTTCTAAACTCGAAGAGTAAGCATTACTAAAATATCAAATTTTACAAAAATAAAGAAATAAAAGATCTAACCCGCCTATATTATTAGCATTTACCGACGCTAACACTATGTGAGCAATCGATAAGTATTGTATCATATGTATATGACTATTACTTTTGGCTGTTTCCTTGATAGACATAATTTCTAACTTAAATTATGTATTGGCAACCTTAATAAAACAAGGACCGTTCAATTCAATTATATCCCCTATGCACTGGCAACCTCATATCAACGTGGTCATCTCAATTTGGCTGCCCTTTTGTGCGTATTTTGTATTGAACAATTAATCACTAACTATGTTCTGTTGAAGTGAAAATAGACTATATCTCCAGGTAATGTTGGAAATTCAAATTCTGACGTTTTTACCTAAAGAAGAATTTTACCCAACCATCACTTTCAACTCAAGGGTCGGTCTCACAGTTATGTCTATCAAGATATTTGATCATGTACCAAAATATAAAGAACCAAGCTTTTAATTTGTCTCAATTTATTATATTTATACTCAAACTCTTTCTCTTAACTTAGGCCGGATTCCAACTTAAGTTCCATTTTGAATTGAATGAATGCTAAAAACTGAAAAGCAAACAGTACTGCAATTGTAACAACTAAGCCGAAGAGGATGGAATTCCATAATGCTGATAATGAATTATTTCTTTTCTGACACCGCTTAAAATAACTAAAGTAATGCTTCAATTACAATAAAAAAATTAGAGCAAAGAGAAACCACTAAACAGTACAAACCTATCTAGTACAAGCGTAATGAATAGTACAATCCCAAACTTAAGCTGTTGGTTCAATATTTAAAGGTTCTCCATGGGTGTAAAGTGGACACTCTTGGGGTTGAACACCCGATAGCTCACAAACACAGAAACACAAAGTGCTGCTACTGATAGTACAACAGAAAAGGCACTTGCAACATTCCACGAGCTACTTGATGCTGCTGCATTTAATGCCTTGCCAGTCAAAGAACTGCCAACAGATATGTCAATGGGAACCCAGTCACAGTTAACAGAATAGTGCCCAGAACCATGCCATGGCTGACCATCTACTGGATACCATAATGCAACAGACATCTTACTGGATCCACCAATGGTAAATTGCACGTCCTGCAAGGTATTATTTTGCATCATTATATTTGCTTGTTATCTTATAAATGAAGTTTAAGATTATAAATACTAATCCATACACTCCTAAGAAAAAAAATATTTGGTTTCAAGTTCTCTCTAATTACACTACAAGATGCGCCTTTGAATAGGAAGAAACTAAGATAAACACAATACCCGCAATATGTTAAAAACAAAAACCACATGATTTAGAAGACCCTCTGCAATCACATCTAGATTTGAAAAGATATTTTCATCTATGCATACAAAGAAGAAAAAAAAAAAAAAAAGACAGTGGTGGAAGGTTAGAATAACATATACATGATTTTAGGTTTGAACCATATCGTTGTCATGGTAATTCCTATGGCTAAAAAATAAAAAATCTGTTCGTTTTAGCTTTTGGCCATAGTCAACCAATATTTATTCAGAAGGCAAGTTTGCATTGGGAAGAAGGTAAAACCAATAATCTAGTATAAGTTATCTTATCCATAGCCAAAATTGTTTCAACAACAAAAAAACGTAGACACATAATTAAAAGCATCTTTTATCACATGACTTGGGGTACTCTATGTCAGCATTGATTAAAAATGATAAATAATGAAGTTGATATGTTTCCCATCAACAATCTATAATATTTATTAAGGGCACAAAAGATCAATTGAGAAAGAACTTGTGAGCCAAGAATTCAGCTGATTGGAAGGAAAAAAAAATCTGAATAAATCAATGCAAGCTCTTGATGAATAAAAACTTCTGAATGTCATGTTACTTTCTAAGTTCTAACCTGTTGAAGATGATCCATAGTCCTCAAAGGCCTAGAGAATTCAAAAAAGTACGTGCCCTTTTTTCCATTTTCTGAATATGGACTTTCATCCTCTACGAAACCTGTTAAAGACAAGCATGTGAGTAGCAATATGGAGGAAAAAAGATGCAAACTAACTAATGATGGAGTAAAACAAAGTAGAGAGATCAAATTTAAGCCTTTAAGGTACTGTGTTTGAGGCAGACATTCAGACACAAGATTGCAACCAGTATTATGAAAACCAGCTTGAACCAACCAATTCAACTAGTGAACAACTCAAGTAACCGATCTGAGTAGGCTACTGGATTTGCAATTAAACTGGTTTGAACCAACGTGAAATGGTATGAGGTTAACGATTAATACTGGTTTTGTAAAATGTTTAGTGTGAATTTCCATGGGTAAAGTTTGGATGAGTTAATAATTTGAACCTATGACCTAATAATTAACAGTCATTTAACATCAACCATTAGTCATTACACCAGATACGAACCTATAACCTAATAATTTGAATCTGTTTTCATAATTTAAACCTATGATAGTTATGATGTCCCGACTATTATATTTATAACGCACACATACATAGTTCAACCAGTAAAACACTTACTCTTTGAACCAGTGACCCAGCACCCCAATTGAGTCACTGACACGGCCAAGTTTGAAAACACTAATGCAATAGAAAAATAGAATCCAAGCAAATAGGTATAGAGTAAATCCCTGCTTTTGTCCTCCAAGCAAATAGGTATCATCATTTTGGTCCTCAAGATTTTATCATCAAATTAATCCCTCAACAGTGCAAAGAGTAATCACTTTTAGCTCCAAGTATTTTTAACATCAATTTAGTCCCTAAATAATGCAATATTTCATCAATTTAGTCTCTCGATCAAGCAAAATGTCATCATAGGAGGACCAGTTTGATGATACCTTGAATAATTGAAAGACAAAAGTGACAAGACTTGTAAAATTGGAGGACAAAAATACGAGTTTAGGATCTGTTTGGATAAAATTCTAAAAAAACAATTTTAGGAGAAAAAATAAAATAGGGTTTTTTTGTAAACTAAAATTAATTTATGCATAAACTAATTTATAAAAACTCTTTCATATGCTTCTCCAAAAATTTATTTTTAACTTATGTTTAGCTTATAAAATTTATTTTATTTTTCTGTCTTATTTTTCTACTTACAAATATTTTTCAATAAATTTATCCAAACAGACCTTTAAGCGTAAAAAAAAATAAAAATAAAAAAGAAGTAATTTTTGCCTGGCAAGAAACAAGGCTGATTGGCCTTTTTTAATGGATTAGTGAACTTTTGGCACTTAGTGGGAGATTAACCTAAGTAGATGGTACCAATTATATATTATTGAAAGCAGCTGGCACCAACATGTATGAAAATTTTAAATTGCTGTTGACATATCTTAAAACAAAATTCATAAATGAAGCATAGTAACTAGGCATGCTTTATTATATGCGATCCATTCATTTCATTTTCATAAGTAGCATATATATTGTTTTGAGATTCCTGTCACTATTGCTCAGAAAATATTGTTTTAAGATTCCTGTCACTACCAACCAAAATTTCAGTATGAACTCAGCTTCCAACTACATTTAATTGATAGGACATTGTACTTGTTTCATGATCTATAAATGAATCAGTCACCTGAGTGAACTGTGAAGCTGCTGTGCCACCAAGCACCCTTCCAGTCATTCTGCGCACTAGAATCATTAGCTGACAATAGAAAAGGGTCAGACTTTAATATACCTTAAAATGATAAAAAGGAAGATTATCAACTATCAAGTATCAATAAATGATGGCGTTGAAAACAAGAGTTAACACACAACATTACAAGTCATAATACATAAAGATAAATTTAATTGCCCGGAAGAAGTGTCTTTCCTTTCAGATTTTTAACTCTTTGAAAAGAGATGCATTATCATTATACTCAAAACTTACGACGCTACAGAAAATTTGTTTTAACTATTAAATCATGAACATTAATGGACCAACAAAATGTCCGACAATTCTCTACATAGTCTACCAATATAAATTCATGATTCTCGTAGAGATTAAATTCAGAAGTAATTCGTTGAATTAACACATTGTATGAATGTCGTACAGTGTCAAACGGGCTAGAGTCACCTTATTGGCGTCCAGATGTAGTCTAAAATGAGTAAGAGTCCTCACATTTTTCCCAAATGGATGTAGGTAAAGAAGCTAGTTCAAAAGTTCTTGATTATGCTTGTTACTTAGAATACTGGTACTTTGACAACTAAGTATAAAGACGGTGAATACCATGATTTAGAGAAGGATTTACATTAAGGATTGGAGAAATATTAAGGGTTAGATACTACAAGATTTAAACTTTGATACACCATCAAAGTTAGAGGAAACAATGGTGTGGGTATTATTATGCACAAGGAATGTAAAGAAAGTGTGGTAGATATAAAATAATTGGGGATAAAATTTTAGCCTTAAAGTTACTGGTTGCACAGTAGATCATTAATACTATTAATGCTTATGCACCATGATGGAAAGCCAACTTAATTGCAGTCACTCCTAGCCTACTTTAGTTGCAACTTCTTTGGGGTTGCCTTAATAGTAGCCTCAAAGATGGTAATTTAATCCCACATTGATTAGAGATATGACTTAAATAGAATTTATAAAACTTGAATAATTATTACCTTACAAATCGATTTTGGGTGATCGAGTAACGCTATATTGTTGTGTCACTTGCATTTGCCACACCCTAGACCAGTAGCCTTGGGTGTAAGGGGAGAGTTAGAAAGTTGCCTTAATTGTGTTCTCTCCTACCTGATTTAGTTATGGTCTCTTTGTGGCTACCTTAATTGCAACCTCAAGGGTGTTGGGAAGATTCCCTTAGGAGCAAGGTTATCGATGGCGGATAACGGTCTATGGCGGCGAAGGAGAGATGCGTCGAGCAGCTCCGAAAGTATCGCAGATTCCAGCACGCACTCGAGGTATCAAATATCAAAATTCCATTTTGGAAACTTTTACATTGATGCCTTAAATTTCGATATATGTTGATTGTTGAGGTTTATCATTTAAAATGAATGCAGATAATAGAATGGATGGAGATGAGGAAAATTAACTTTTCCTGGAATAACTACGCAGTTTATTTAGATCTTGTGTCGAAAGCCAAAGGGGTAGTTGCTGCTGAGAAATTTTTCAGCGGTCTTCCCCCTCCAGCCAAGAATAAGTATACCTACGGTGCTCTCTTGAACTGTTATTGCAAGGAACTAATGACCGACAAGGCTTTAGGTCATTTTGATAAAATGGATGAATTGGGTTATGTAACTTCTCTGGCTTTCAACAATCTCATGGGTATGTTCATGAGACTTGGTCAACCCATGAAGGTCCCTCAGCTGGTGCGTGATATGAAGCACAGGAACATTCCCTTGTCAGCATTCACATATCATGTCTGGATGAACAGCTGCGCTGCTTTGAACGATCTTGGCGCGGTGGAGAGTGTCTATGAGGAGATGAAAAGGGAAGATGGAAACCAAATTGGTTGGCAGACTTACAGCAACCTTGCTGCTATTTATACAAAGGCTAAGGACTTTGAGAAGGCTGAGATGATGCTTAAGATGATGGAGAAACAAGTGAGGCCGCGACAGCGTGACGCGTACCATTGCTTGCTTGGCCTCTATGCAGGGATTGGTAATCTTGGAGAGGTTCATAGGGTGTGGAACTCCCTCAAGTCTGTCTCCCCTGTGACCAATGTCAGCTATCTTATCATGCTTAGTACCCTCCGAAGGCTTAAAGATGTGGAGGGCATAACAAGATGCTTTAAGGAGTGGGAGTCTAGTTGTGCTAGTTATGACGTGAGGTTAGTTAGTGTTTGTGTTAGTGCTTACTTGAACTCACACCTAGGGATGGCAAAAATACCCGCGCTCACGGGTATCTACGGGTAAAATCCGCTACGTATAATAAATGGATAGGCTAATTGGGTACCCACGGATAATGAGGACGGATAATTTTTTACCCGTTTATAAACGGGGCGGGGCCGGGTATGATGATATCCATACCCGCGGGTACCCGTTTAATAATATTTCTTAAATATCCTAATTGTTCTTGTACTACATAACCCTAAAACTACACTCTCTCATTATCACAACCCGAAAATTTCCGATCTCGCGACCTATGGTTTAGACATCCTTTTAAAGATCTCATCAATTAAGGAATGTCCGGACACCAGACTAATCCTTAATTAATGGTTTTGAAAAAATGAGTTCATGGAGTCACCACCAATGTTTTACCCAAAACATTGGAAAAAGAAAAGGTTTTTACAAATCTAATAATGGCCTGGATAACCATAATTGGGTTCGGGGGTCGGTTACGTGTAAGGAAGGTATTAAGCACCCCTACAACGACCTTAATCGGCACCCTATGACGAAGTTAACATTACAAGCAATAATAATATCAATATTAAATCCCCTTTTATTGATGACTATTTACATGCTTAAAATTTAAATTACACAATTAGCTAAAATTAAAAAAAAAAAAAAAAAACAGAAAAGGTTACCGGTTACCGGCTAATTCAAGTGAAACTCAAAACGACGGCGCGTGGTGCGTTTTGATGAACCCTAACAAAACCCCTCCGAGGGATTTCAATAGGAGACAAACAGCACCCGGCTGTGGTACGATCTTAGAGCGACGGAGATGAATTACGCCAGTCTAATTTCCGGCGGAGGATGGCTGCTCCGGCGACTGTGCACTGCGGCCGAGACTCCGGGGAAGAAGCTAAACCTTTATCGAATGTTATCGGCGCTGGAGATGACCGGAGGTAGCGTGTCGGAAACTTTGGACCACTACATAATGCACGGCAGAGCCGTCAGAAAACAAGAACTCGAGAGATGCGTCGAGCAGCTCCGAAAGTATCGCAGATTCCAGCACGCACTCGAGGTATCAAATATCAAAATTCCATTTTGGAAACTTTTACATTGATACCTTAAATTTCGATATACTAGTAGAAATTTTTAAATTAATAATGTCATGGAAAAATCTATTAATTTTTTTTTTGGCTCGGGAGTATTCAGGGCCGAAAAATCTATTAATTTTTTTTTTTGGCTCGTCCCTGGAGTATTCACTGCCAGTGGGATAGCTGGCTCCAAGATTTAACGCGGCTGCATACACAAGGCAGGATTCGAACCCCTGACCTTGCTTAAGGGCGGATCAACCTCTACCGCTGAACTACACGCTTGGGGATGGAGAAATTTATTAATTTAAAAAATTATTAATTTATCGATAAATTAATAATTATTAATTTAAAGAGTTTTTAAGTAATATGTTTCAAAGCCCAAAAATAGTTTTTTTTATAAAAAAAAACCGTCATGACCGCCATGCTCGTCATAAACCTTCACGGCGCCATGGCCATGGCGGGCGCCATATCGGAAATGGCGGAAACCGCCATAAACCTTCATATAACGGATGGCAAATGGCGGTTTAGGTTCAAACCGCGACGTTTTTCCGTTATAACGGGGTTATAACGGATATTTGACAACATTGCTTAGGAGGGGGGGATTTAAATGGACATGTTGGTATTGAGGCATAGCAACTAAGAACACAATTCGCCTTCATTGCGATCACCCCTACCTACCTTAGTTGCAGCCTTTTGGGGTTACCTTAATTGCAACCTCAAGGTATCAAATCATTCATTTGCAAATATTCAATCATACAAATTTTACATTTGAGAGGTCCAATTCTTGGTACGAAGAGGTGTGTCAGGGATCTCATATCAACTAGTAATATAATCAAAATAAAGTATATAAACGGGGGCAATCCTTATCATATAAGCTAGTTTTGTAAAGTTTAGGCTCAAAACTGACACTGTAAGAGATACAAACTTTGGAAACAGTGGCTTTACACCTAAGAGTAATGAATTGCAATTTTAGTAAGAGACAAGTAATATGACTTAGACGTAAAATTGGAAAATGTCATACCACAAGCTTCTAAATTTATATATCTAGGATTATTACTACAAAATGATAGAGAATTTAATGAGGATTTCATTCAGAGGATACAAATGGGAGTAGCATAAATGAGAATATTAAGACGGAAAAGTGGTCTCGGAAAAAAGAAAAAAATAAAAAATAAAATAAATAAGACAAAAGAAAGATAAGATACAAAATGATTGTATATATGAAGATAAAAAGATTACAAGTAATCAATTAAGGTGGAAAGATTACTAGAATTACCAATGAGAAAAGTAGATTGCATGGTTTAGTCTTATGAAAAAATGAAAAGAGAACAAGAAAGACATTGGAAGAAATTGTTAAGTAAGATAAGATGATTAATAATATTTTTGAAAGTTTGGCCTTTAATCCAATCGAATAACAGCATGTAATGATTGTAATCCATTAAGCTTACCTCACCTAGTAAGATAAAACTTTTGTTGTTGTTGTACTTATCTTAAAATGTGAGTTTAAACTTAACTCAACCTTACATAACTGACTTGTAAGGTGAGGATTGTCTCTACTTAAATACTTTATTTAGTCATATCCTAGCGATTATTGTTAGGTCTATTAAGTCACTCACTATCAGACCATTATTGAATTACACGCAAATGTTTAGTTTAGCAAATTTCACGATCAAGATGTCCAATCCTCAACGTGATGCATGTGTTGGAGATTCCACATCAACTAGAGTTATAACTAGAAGAATATATATAAGTGAAAAGCAATCTTCATCCTATAAGTCGATTTTATGGGGTTGAATTAAGTTAAAACTCATATTTCTATAATAGTATCAGTCTATTCTAAATCCATTAAAAAGGGTCACCTATTATTTATCTGCATACCAAGCCTAAGTCCCATATTGGTTAAAGATAAGGCAAAATTTGTTGAATATCCCATATTGACTAGTGGTACAGCTGTAATAATGTATAAAAGTAGGGAGCAATTTTCACCTTTTAATTCAGCTTTATAAAGCTGAGTTACATTGAATTTCACTTTCTTAAGATGGCATCAAAGCCTATTCTAACAATTATTGATTGTTGCTGAACTTTTCAGGTCACCCACTATCGAATCACCTGCAGATGTCTTGTCCTATAAACTTCATGCTCGAAATGTTCAATCCTCAGCATGATGAAAGTGTAATAGCAATTCCACATCAACAAGTGGTATAGCCATAATAATGTATATAAGTGAGGAGCAATTCTCATCTTACAAATCAGTTTTGTACGGTTGAGTTAGACTCGTAATCTACTTCTTAAAAAAAACAAAAGAGTATATAAGTGGGGGGACAATTTTTACCCTACAAGTTGATTCTATAGAGTTGAGTTTGGCTCAAACCCACACTATAAGAATTTTTTTTCTACATTAAAAGAAAATAATAAAATCTGGTTTGGCATTATGAGACTACATATGTTATGCAGCACACATTATTTTAGCTGCAAAAAGAAAATATTATGATATGTTGGTGGTTGTGAAACTCCCGTCGAGTATAAAGAAACTGATGCAGACAGCGACACATCAATCTTGTGTCATGCCATTTTAAAACTTAATTATCACCTTTTCCTGAGTTAGGAACTTAAAGTTGCCTATGTAATCTTAGCTTAAAAAAACACTTAACCTCTCCATCTTCTTGTCCTCTGCTATACAGATATGCCTTAATTAATTTTGACACATCCCTTTCTTCCAATGGAATGAAGCCATCTTAAAATAATTTAAGACACCATATACATGCTAAAATCCAATCATTGCTTAATCATTTTGGGATCCACTTTCATGTTGTAAAGTGACATCAATTTTAAATTGCGAATCATGGGACAGAAATTATTTTACAAAAACTGATGAGAAAAAAATAGGGAACAAAGTTAAAAGAGATTAATTTCAAACGTGAACCTAGATTTTTCATGGCTAAGCTAAAGGAATAAATTAATGGGATCACCTCATGCATGGTTCAAAAGAAGATATCATTATTTTTTATATGGCCAAAGTGAGTAAATTGTGAAGGATATCAATAAGTAAGCAAACTAAATAATGCACATTAAAAAAGTAACTTTGAGGAAGACAACATTGGAAGGGGAAGAAGACAAACAATATGATAATAGAAAATGTATATAGAAGAATTAAACATTTTCCACATAAGTAATTGACTGTAACTACAGAATAGTAGTTTCAAAATTTTAGGAATCATCTATGCTACTTCCACTTGGTGTTTCAATTCATTGATTCTGCTTTTTTCTTTTTTCTTTTTTTCATTTATAGAAGCACATAATTCCCATTTATGGAGTTGGAGTTGTACATACCAGAACCTGAAGGACCAGTTCCATCCAAGTATCTACAATGTGGATTCCATGCATATAGATCAACCAAGTGACCAAACCTGTACCAACGAATATAGGGAACTGAATGAATACATCCAGAGGAAAGGTAGTCCTACTGCCATGAACTGTCAACCAATACAGTAGACGTTATGGATTTTTTCAGATCATCACCTGTCGCCACCATTTCCATCCCTATTATCTAGGGGATTGCCACCATAAAGCCGTCCGGGAATTGCACTTCCAATTGAAAAGTGCATGATGTCAACTTCATGACCTTTGCATGTCTTATTTGTGCACGATGTTGAATGCTCCTCACAGCCACCCATCTTAAAAAATTCAACACAATCTTTATTAAATAAATTTTCATAAAAACCTTCTAGAAATGTCAGGATTATAACCGAAAGCAACAAAGACTGCAAAATTTAAAAAGAACTATTCGGTTCATCAACTTACATTATGATAAGAGGCACCATCCCCAATTTGAAACATGAGAGCAACAGATGGACATTTACTGCTATCACTGCAATGCAAAAAATAATACACCAACCAAACAAAAGCTCTTCATAAATTAACATGAAAAAGATGATAGAGTACTACTTTTAAAATTTAGTTTACAAATAAATGCAATGTAGAATTTAATTTAATTCCTACTTTTCTTTTGCTCTGTGTATCGGCAGTCACCACAAAAAAGTGTAAATTCTATAACAGGCATCTAACAGGAACTCAAGCATCATATTGATGAATAGGATAACCTGTGTGGCATATAATTCAATTCATACTTTATGAACTTATCTTCTCTTCTTTCAAAACGTTACACCCTCAATAACACGTTATCAATATTCAACAGAAACAACACAAGCTCAATTAGCATTCAAACAAGCTAAACTACACTAGCAGGCAGCATAATAAATCGCAGAGAGGGAGTAGATGAAGCTTTTTCCGCATGGCACGGTATACTTACCCTTTAGTGTAGGCATAATCACCGTCAACTTGAAGCAGAAAGAAGATATCGCGGCCATCGTGCACACTCTACAAAAAACGATAATCCAATAAAATAAAATTGGTGATAAAACTGAAGAGAAGGAAGTTGAATGCGGTTGGATACCTTAACGGTCATCTTTCCGCCTTTGAATTCATTTTCAGCGTCGGGGTCGAGGGCGGGGAGGAGGGAAAAGTAGGAGCCATCAATGTCCTTCCAATCGTCGGCGTGGCCATCAAGTGTAATAACGCCGGGTTTGAACTCAGCTTCGACTCGGATCTCCGACCCGGAGTCGCAGCTCCAGTGGCCCGACTCCTCGTGCGACTTCACCCGGGGCCCCAAGCCCAACAAGAATAATATCAGCAAGAGGTGACGAAGCATTGTGGAAGGAAATGGTAGCCTTAGGACTTGGGAGTTAGGAGTTAGGAGTTAGGAGTTAGAAATAAAGGAGTTTTCCTCTGAGTGGCGTGGCGGCCGGTAGAAATTGCGAAGGAAGGATCGCGATTCGCGCCGCGCTTGACTTTTCCTCTGTTGGCTTCAAAATTTAGATTAGACGTGACGCACAGCACTTGGGCCTTGCCTTTCACCAGCACTTTCATTCTGCCTTCGCTCGACTCGACTCGATAAATAATTGCATCATTTCATCTTACTTTAATTTCTTTTTTATGCATCTATTCTATTATTTGTGTCTTCTTCATTAAAGTAGATTAGGATAAAAATAATTTGTGTCTTGGGGGGAGATTTTGTCGAAAATTAGTTACTAGTTTTGATAACGAGTATTTCACATTTAAATTTTGATTAAAAAATTGTTTAATTTTAAATTGTTTTTTGACAGAATATTTTATTTTCTTGTCTCAATATATTTTATGAGTTTTATTTCCACTATGTACAAAAATCTTTCATATCATTGATAAATGTAACAACTCATTCTAATCATGATACTAAACAAAATTACTACTACTAATTACGAAAACTAATCTACTAGAAACATTCATGATTAAATGAGAGAATCGAGAGAGAGGGAAAGAAAGAACATAAATATAAAAATAAAACACATATACTAATATAGACAAGATTATACATGTATACAATAATCTCAAAATAATCTTGTCTTAATGTCGTTCAAGAACAATTATACAAACTATCGCAATAGCGTCAACACTAACCAAAGAGCATCGCCAACAACCAAAAGAGTTTGCTAACTCATCACCATTGCTCCTCCAACATAGCCTAATTTGTTCATATACAACATATGATCATCCCAATCCAAACTATACTGGAAAAAAAATGAGTAAGCTAGAATTCAAAAATATGTAAGTATAGAAAATAATTTCATAACCTACAACATCATAACAAAACATACATGAAAGTCAAACATCACAAGGAAAACATATATCTCGTCCACACCATGTTAGCAAGACATTCAACAATGCACTTAATCACACCACATCATATATCATATGCAAACATTTCAACTAGAACCGTCAAAATGGGCCGAGACCCGTGGGCCAACCCGGCCCACCTTGAAAATGGGCCGGGCCGGGCTAAAAAAATTGAAATTTTATAGTAGGTGGGTATATCTCAACCCGGCCCACCCAGGCTAAACCCGTGGTGGGCCGGGTAGCCCACCAACCCACCATTTTTTTTTACAATAAAAATTTAAGTATGATTTATAGTTAATTTTGTATGATAGGATATTGAAAATTTTTATTTTAGACTTTTATCATGATTTGTATTTAATTTTGTATGATGATTATGACTTATGACTATTAATGATGCTAATTTTATGACTATTATGTTAATTTATAATTAATTTAAAATTTTGAATTTTGTTGATAATTTTTTTTTAATTTTTGGTGGGCTGGTGGGCTGGCCCGTATAACCCACCAACCCGTGGTGGGCCGGGCCGGGCCAAATTTTTTTTGAGAAAATCAAAAGTGGGTCGGGTTGGGTTGGCTCGTTTTTAAAGTGGGTCAAGGTGGGGCGGCCTACATGAGTCGGACTGGCCCGTTTTGACAGCTCTAATTTCAACCAATGCATTATCACATATTCACTTATAGAGATATCCTAACAATATGAGTAGTCTAAATGACTCTACCCTATCGAACCAATTCAATCATTTTTGCACTTAGAGGATCAATTCAATCATAGCAAAATGGGATATCAATCCCTCCTCAGTTTCTTTGGTCTTATCACTTATACTAGGGAAGTCCAATTCTCCCATTAGGAATAGTACAATTAGATATAGGCTTCCCACGACCCTGACATGCATTACCAAGTATATATAGAATTTGTTCACTAATTGTTCTCAAGGAACTATGCAACCTTTCCAGGTACTTGGTTAAGAGTTGTAGCCCTTGACTTCCCACCTTACTTAACCACTAACTAAGGATTTAAAGGAAACTCGATATGCCTCAAATCCCACTCCAAGAGACACATTCACTCAAGGAGGGTTTCCCAATAGTGGCCTACCCGAGCACTACTTTAAGATTCTCTATATGGGATCTTCAATTTTCAAAAAACCAATTTCCTCTCCTCAAGTCCTAATGTCTTAATGTCGTACTGCATTCTTAGCATCCACACCTCATCATACATCATCTATATACATCACATTCAATCAATGCATACAAAGATCAACAACAACATCATCCATACATGGCATATCATCTCTAAAATTATACATCATACAATCATTTGTATATATCATCTCAGATCAATATACATAGAACTATACGCCTCATACATCATACTACATGCAATAAAATAAAATAATATACTCATGTTCATCATACAACATTCCAAAACCACACCAATCATTCAAGCATCCTACACCCGACGCAACATATCTTGCAATTGACACTATCAAGGCAAGGAGCTCTCTACTCACTCACACCCGACGCCATCTAAATTGCACCCGACGTGATCGAGGTGAAAATCCCCGAAGACCTCATTCCTGGCATGACAAAACCCACATTTAACAAGTCAAAGACTTCTCACCCTTTCATGCTCGGCACCATCCCAACCCAAGATGAGTCTCTTTTTGTTGTGCACTGAGGGGGGGTTACCACACATATACACATGTCTCCACATTAGTGAGATATTGTCCGCTTTGGGCCCAAGCCCTCGTGGATTTGCTTTTGGACATCACCCAAAAGACCTCTCAACCAATGAAGACAATTGTGTGTATATAAACCCATGTGCATCCTCTTGTTTGAATGATGTGGGACTTTGCTTGCATCCCAACAATCCTCCCCTCAAACAAAGGACCATAGTTTACCCTCCTCTGCAGCGGAAACTACGAGTATTATCCGATGGTGGCCCTACAAAGCTCACTCACGCTCAGAGTACTTGCATCGTCGCTCCATCATGACCTCCCTCATGACAGCGGGACACGCCTCCTAACCCTCTATGTTACTAGGAAACCTTTCTTTCACATGGACCCACCGTTAGGAAGACTTTCGACACAAGGGATCCCAAACTTGGATCCACCTGCCAGTCATCATACTCGTCGAGCCGGTCACCTTAGACCATAAGCTTTGATACCACTTTTTGTGCACCGAGGGGGGGTTACCACACATATACACATGTCTCCACATTGGTGAGATATTATCTGCTTTGGGCCCAAGCCCTCACAGATTTGCTTTTGGACATAGGGATGGCAACGGGGCAGGGCAGGTACAGGTTTCATGATACCTGTCCCCGTCCCCGAAAGTCAAACACATCCCCGTCCCCGTTCCCGTATCCGTCGGGTATGTGATTTTCATCCTCATCCTCGTCCCCGTCGGGTATCGGGTATACTCGTACCCGTCAATTTTTTTTTTTTTGTAAAAAAAATGATATTTTTAAATTATTTTTTATTATATTATAATTATAATTAAATTATTGATATGTCTCATACTATAATAAATAATCACACATAAAAAAATATTAAAATTCTTTAATATAATTAAATTAAAAGTGGGTATTAAATTAAAAATGGGAACGAGGACGGGTACGGGGCGGGTAAGTACATACTCGTACTTGTACCTGTACCCGGTCAAACCGGCTATTTCCCGTCAAAGTCAGGACGAGTTCGGGTATTACGTGGGGGTACAGGCATATTTGCCATCCCTATTTGGACATCACTCAAAAGGCCTCTCAACCAATGAAGACAATTGTGTGTATATAAACCCATGTGCATCCTCTTGTTTAAACGATGTGGGACTTTGCTTGCATCCTAACAATCTTCTCACGCCTGGTGCCACTGCACACGACATGATCGAAACAGATATCTCTGGTTGGAGAAGAAGAATAAAGGATAATTTTGAGCTTCTAAACTTTGCACCACTTTTGATTTGGGACTCTTAGCCTTTACATTGAATCCAACACCTCTAGCTTTGAATATCGTACACCAAGAAGATCTAGGATGAAGTTTATAAGAAACGGGTTAGAGTTTCTCTCTCTAGAATTCTCTCTTTAAGGTTTTGAAGAACAATAAATTATTAACTCTACTCAAAACAAAAAGTTAATTAAACCTTTAATCAGAGACTTTCACAACTCACCTAACCTAACTTAGGTATAATATTACAATAGACAAATTTTTTTAAGAGAAAAATGATACACAACTTAGAGAATGAAACTTCCACTATTTTATATATTTTAATCAAAATAATAATATTATTTGTCTTATTCAATTACATATTAAAATATTAGTTTTAAAATAAATATTTGCTTTAACACCTTAGTAAATATTAAGCACAACAAAAACACCTTAGTATGATAGCATACAATCGTCATCATCATAACGTGTTAAAGATCCATTTTGGCTTATAAATGACCAAACTAATATATAAATAGATAACAATTTTGCTGCGATAATTTTTGGACTTGAATTAAGTTAAAATTTAAATTATAATTCACATGATATATATCTTACTGATTGTTGTTAAATCTATCAAATTATTCATATTAAGTTATTATTGAATCATTTAAAAATGTTTGATGTTGTAAATTTTATATTCAAAGATATGTAATTTTTTATTTGGAGGTGAATTAAAAATTTCACATTAACTATTAATATAGCTAATATTAATGGTTTAATAAATAGGTGAGTATTTTTAGGGGATGTTTAGTAGGGGAAATTTTTTCATACACAGGAATTATGTTGCCTAGAATTACAAATTTCGGGAATTATGACTCTTAGAAATAACTAAAATATGTTTGGTTATTCATAGAAGTTCTTGGAAATATTCATACATGATTATTGGGAATTAAAAATTTTCATGTTTGATTACAATAGTAAATTATTGGTTTTATAAATATTTTTTAATAAAAATATCCTTTATTAAAATAAACGTATTATATATATTTATTTTATTTTATTCAAATAAAAAAATATATAAAAGAAAGTGTTAACAAATACCATTAAAATGTCGAAATAAAATAAATTTTAATAATATTATTAAAATTGATAAGATGAAAAAATAATTAGATACAAGAGAAAAAAAAATAGAGATATGAGAGGGGGAGAGGGAGAGAGAGAAGAAGAAAGGAGGAGTGAGAGTGAGAGAGACAGAGAGCAAGAAAAAAGGGGAGAAAGAGAAATAGAAAGAGAGGGACAGAGA